CATTCCTGCACACAGACGCTGCCGTCTGTCTTGGCCCCCTTTTCTCCTGGAACTCCAAAATGCAGCTTCTGCTTTCTCCACTCCAAAGACTTGAGACGTTTTCCAAAAGTCATTTTTTCTTTTGTTTTGTTTTTTTGCGGTACGCGGGCCTCTCACTGTTGTGGCCTCTCCCGTTGCAGAGCACAGGCTCCGGATGCGCAGGCTCAGCGGCCATGGCTCACGGGCCCAGCCGCTCCGCGGCACGTGGGATCTTCCCGGACCGGGGCACGAACCCGTGTCCCCTGCATCGGCAGGTGGACTCTCTTCCCTGGGAAGCCCAGGGAAGCCCCAAAAGTCTCTTTTTGAGCTAACAAAATAAGTGATATTTCAGGGCAAAATATACCCTCACTCCTCTCCTCGTGTTCCTCTGCCCGCCCCAACTCAGGCCCACTCTTGTGAAATGCGTGCTTTGCGCGCACACTCACTGTTTTTTTCTCTGTCCCCTTGTCTCCTCTGTAACCAGTTTCTTGTTCTCAAGCCCCGGGTCGTACCTGGCAAATACCCGCAGCTCCTAGCAGTAGCCCGATCCTGTGAACTGTGAGCCCTCCTCTCCATCCCTCCTTCACCAGCCTCCCTCCCTCTCACCCAAAGGCATCAACTGGTTGCCTTTTCTGTGCCAGGCACCCTTCTGGGACTAAGGGGTACGCTGGTGAGCGAGTCAAAAGTCCTTGCTCTTGTGGGGTGTTCTTTTGGGGAAACGAGGCAGACGTTAGCATGTGAGGTAATAAACCAGCTTATTTCAGGTGGTGATAAAAAGCCACGAGGGAGGGCTTCCCTGGTGGCGCAGTGGTTGAGAGTCCGCCTGCCGATGCAGGGGACCCGGGTTCGTGCCCCGGTCCGGGAAGATCCCACGTGCTGTGGAGCGGCTGGGCCCGTGAGCCATGGCCGCTGAGCCTGCGCGTCCGGAGCCTGTGCTCCGCAAGGGGAGACGCCACAACAGCGAGAGGCCCGTGTACCGCAAAAAAAAAAAAAAAAAAAAAAAAAAAAAAAAAAAAAAAAAAAAAAAAAAAAAAAAAAAAAAAAAAAAAAAAAAGCCGCGAGGGAAAGCACACAAGGTCAGGAGCTGGAGTGTGGCCGGGTGGAGATGGTGTTGGCCTCCTGAGACCGAGTGCACAGTGAGGCTGGCTCTGAGGGAGGCGGTCTTCGGGGAGGATCGGAGGGAAGGGTGTTTGGGGAGCAGCGGGCGGCAGAGGCTGTGAGGTCAGAGGCTGGGCCAGTGTCGGTGGGTTTCTGGCAGCAGGGCAGCGCGATTCGATTTACCTTCTGAAGAGATCACTGGCTGCATTTGGAAAATGAACACTATGGAGGCAGAGGTGGAAAACAAAGGGTTTACTTCGATTTAGGCACACCCAGATACTAGACTGTGAGCCCCACCACGGGAATGTTGGGGGCGGGGCAGGGGAGGCACAATTTAAAAGGTTGCCTTGTGCCTCCGTCCACTAGTGCGGTTATTGGAAACCTAACTGGACGAGCCAAAATGTGATGAGTTCACAAGGAATTCTGGTCCCCTCCCTTGCCTAGAACT